ATAGAGGGCCGGAGTTCTGACGTTAATCGACGACAGACCGATAAATAAAAAAGTCGATAAAACTCCAGAATAATTCAGACTACATTTAGGGGGGGGGATTTTGCTATGTTGTCATCAGATTCATTGTAATCAGTTAACCACCTTCAGGGGCAACAGGGCATTCAAAGGGGCACCCTTGTCTTGCAGACATTTTCTAGATCCTTAAACGTCTTTAAAGAACCAAAATACCTTAAGTCATGACATGGCCATTTGGCTAATAATTACCTTAGATTGGGAGCTGTATTTCCGATAAGATATTTTAAAGTAATTTTTTTCTTCTTCTGTTAATGAACTTATTCCAAAGATATTTATTATTTTCACAATTTTATTTTAGTTCATATGTAACTCATTCTTTTCAGGGAAATATTTTTGTGTTTTGATGTAATTTCTATCATTTCGTTTCTACAGGATTCGCTGGGGAGAAGTGTGAGGTCAATGTAGATGAGTGTGCCAGTAATCCATGTCCTAGTGGCACCCTCTGTGAGGACAAGATCAACGCCTACAGGTGTTACTGTCCTGAGGGTAAACTTGGCATCAACTGTCAGAAAGGTACAGCTCTTCATCACATGAAACATTACCATCAAGTTCCTTTCATAATTAAAATATGTCTACTAACTTTTCAATATTGAGTTTAGCCGAAACGTGTATAGCCCCCACATCCAATATCTAGTTGCCGTTATCACCGTGTCAAGCTGTCTGTCCATTCAGAGATGATCTTGGAATCCAGATGTTTTACCTGTTTTGAAATTTGACATGGTGATGCATGTTGTTATGTTGATGTGCAATAGGGTTTTAAAAGTTAACCATTTCAAAGATTTTGCAAAATGATCGCTGTTGTGTCTGCTCTGTGATTATTGGAGAAATATACAGTCAGGCACTTTGTAGGGTCATTGCTTATTGTCAGTGTTCTAGTTAAATCAGTCTTCACTCTTGATTAGAGAAATTAATTTTTATTCTTCTAATTGGTGAATATCTCTTGAACCTATAGATTTGAATGATTTGATATCATTTCACTAAATTCAAATTTGATAAAGCAGTAATTTTTATGAAATCTTTTTTGCAGAAATCCATTATGACTTTGATATTGTCCTTCAAACCCCATCCGTGCGTATGCAAGGTGAAATGGTGGACAGGAACGCCCTCTTTACTTTGAACTCAACCTCACTGTCAGTGTCATTGTGGTTCCGATTTGCGTCTGCTGATGGTTCGGGGGCCGACAAAAACATTGTCTCCATTTATGGATTACGGTAAGGGACTACGTATGGAACTCATGGTGAATTGTAAATAGATTGAGAAAAAGGACGGTTAATAAAGAATGATTATGGTATAAATTGCTTTTAGTTCATAAAGCCTGCATCCATATAGTTCGGGGCCTGTGTTCATGAAACTGTTCTCATACTCAAGCATGGATTCTGTGTTCAAACCATACATGTCAAACGATCAAAAAGTAAATGTAAACATTGAAAAAAGTATTTGGTTTTAAGTCTCTTCAATTTGCTTCCAAATCATTGACAAAATAAGATTTGTTTATCAATTCATAACCAGAAAAAGAAATTACGCTTGAGCACAAAATCCAAGCTTGAGCATGGGAACGGTGTCATAAATACGGGCCAAGAGCCTCTACAGAATTCTGTTGAAATACTTGATCAGAAATCTTCACGGCAGTGTTGTTCTTGTGGTGTCTGCTTTACAATAAAGTTGATTGTTTATTATGATGATGAATGTTTCTTGTTATATAGTGCTTCAGTACAATGTACGTACCAAACAATCTTGGCCCAGAAAATTTAATAAAAAATTGTAATGTGACTGTGTTTCCAGGCATAGGCACCGCTTTTCTTACTTCAGGTCACTATTATGAAATGTTGTACTGTTCTGATGATGGCATACCTTAAGTGTGCCGAAACATGTAAGCTATAATGAATATTGCTGTTTAACCTTCCTTCGAATGTTGTCTATATATAGCCATCACTACCCAAATTCTGTTTTTATGTAAACTTGAAAATAAGACTCTACAAAATCATTTTGTATACAATATATATATTGTTTTATCAAATGTGCCACGCTTCATGAGTGGGATGCCACAAAGTAATTAGGTAGTGGAGTAGACCACTATCAAACGAAATCCTATACTACCTCAGTATTTTCAATGCATACATGTATTCTAGAGGTTATACAGGTGTTTGGCTTGTTATGGGTCAGTATTTCTAACAACTCCCATATAGTGCCTACTATAATAACACAGCACAGTGACTGAATACCAAATCCAGACCATTTTATACACCAGTCCGGTTGGATACCGGTACTCAGTACCAGGACCGGATTGGCACTTGCTTTAAAAATGACTGGTGCATATACCCTTTTCAAAATATAACAGACAGAGTCCAATTATCGGTATTGGGGTGAAACTAATGGAACATTTTGTCAGTTGTATATTTTGTTTTAACCATCCTTTTACAAAACTATTAAAAAAAGCTATTAAATGTATATATGTTATTACAGAACAGGCAGTAGACACTCAGCTGTCAGCCAGTTCCTCGTCAGAAGTCGGTCAATCCTTGCTCAGGTTAGTGACAGCATCTCTGTCCAGGCCATCGGTAACGACCTAATGGATGGACTGTGGCACCACCTGGTGGTCACCTGGAACGGTCAGAAGAATCTTGAAGGCGGTGGAGTGACTGGACGTTTGACAATGTACCTGGACAATGTAAAACATAAGGAGGCTGATGGTGTCGGCTCCAAAGCCAGACTTCCTCCATTGTAAGTACCTTCCTCTCTGGGTTTTATACTACATCCGTACCATCATCCTCATAATTCTGGGGGTTATGCTCACTGTGTTCTCTCACCTCTGGAAGATGTCAAGACAAAACTGAAGACACATAGTTAGCTATTTAATTGGGCTCTGGTGAAAAAAACTCACCAATTGCTAGGATAATACCTGTCCTTTGAAGATTACTGTTACATTGCTGTGCGATACTTTTGATGAACGTCAAAGGATAAAACTAGTCTTCTTACATCACTTCTCCCTTCTGCAAGGTGGCACATACAGAGCGTCTAATTTTGTCATGACATAATCTGGGGGTCGAGAGAACGTCGGTGAGCATCAACCCCAAAAGTTCCGAGGATGCTGTACCATAGGGTACCGTTTGCTGTCAAGGCAACTTCTGTCTGAACACACTTAGGTTGTGCAGGGCCCCTTTCACGTATCCAGTTCAACCAGTTGAAACAGTTGAACCTGAAATAAAACAAGAAGGGCATATCTGAACCGAGGCTGACCTCAGTAATATTCGGCACATGTATGTAGATTGCCAAATGTGCTTGACCGAAACTAAAATGCTGACTTTTGCTAGTTTGCGTTATTATGTTATAAAACAAGGTCAATCCACCTGTAAATTTTAAGATCGTTATATAATTTAGTGGATGAATATTTATCCTCTAGATCTGGATCAGGAATTGACAAATTTCAAACAGTTGTAATTAATGTTGCAGAGGAAATTTCTGTTCAAAATGCAAATTTTCCAGATTTCTGCAGCCAAGATTAACAAAGTTTGACGAAGAGGTAGAATTAAATTAATTTGATAACATTTTAAATTTTTAACATGCATGTCTTATTTCAGTGGGTGGCTTGTGATTGGAGGAATCTATGATGCATCAACCAATCAGATCGTCCGATCGAATGGCATTGTTGGTCGAATCAGTCGCCTGTTTATAGTCAAGAAGGAGCTTGACTCTGCAGTCCTGATAAATGAACTTTACTCCAACAGGAGGTCGTACGTCCCTGTGGGGGTGGTTCATGGTCCAGTGATTTACCAGGTTGAGCACGGTCCACTGACCATAGACTACAACAGTGAGGTAGAAACAGATGGATGCTTCACTCAGGAATCTTGCCGTGGTCTATATCAAGGTATGATCACATGACTGTATTCTCAAGTTTCGATTGGTCCATCCAGGACTCTTGGGGTACATTGTAGATGGTGGGGATCCATGTTCCACTCTAACTGGAACCTTTTCACCTGCGTGACAAAAGCTCTAAACAATTATGTCTGGAAAGAAAAACCTGTGTCGTGGAGCTTTTATGAAAAAATAATCATGATGAAACAAACAAAAAAGTAACCAGCCAGTGAACTTGTTATTTTATTATTTCAGCAACGAACTATGCATCTGTGAGAATCTGTCCTCAGGATCAGTATGTGACCTTTGACCGGGATAAAAATGCCATCTGGACTTCACCGCTGTTTGATCGAGCAGTATCAACAACTATGAACAGATATACTGGAGGTGAGTTGAAAATCGGAATAGAAAAAAAAATTATGAGTGTTTTTAAATTGATTTTCTAAAACATGAACAGCTAACCTAGTCCAAAGAACTTTTGAGCTTATGCATGCATTGTCTGTAGTGACAGGCAATTGGTTTAAAATCCTAATGAGTGATCAATTTCAGAATTGGTTCATAATTTTATGAGCTTGAATATCTGACGTACAGGATCTTACATAAATGTCAATGTCATATTGAAATGCAGCACCTTTAGGTTTTATTATACATGTTTATTATCATATTGATGACGTAGTAAAACGGGTCAGTAATGTGACAAAAGTTATCATTATATGCTTGAAAATTTCTCGCAATCACATTGGCCGTATACAATACACCTGACCTGAGTCCTCAAAAACTAGTGTAGACTAAATTTTGTTGGCTCTTTTAAATCCCGACTGAGAAATTAAAGAAATAATTCGTTATATTGAACCTCTACGACACTATGATGTTATATGGAAACCCTGTAATGTAACGTTCTACCTCATTAGCGGAGGAGCTGCGTGCTGGTGTGTACGGTATATCAGCAGCAGGGTTTGACAGTGACGGCAATGCGGTGATGTGTACCTACAGACTCTATGTGAAGCGTAAGTAAGGGAGTACAAACGAACATTCTCTCGTAAGATTCATCTCCAACATCTCGCAAGAAAATACAAATTTCGTTATCCTCTGAAATGGAACAAGTTTTCTGGCTGTGTTAAATGTGAATTTCTCTGTATAAAAATTACATTACCACAAATGTGGTTGTACATACAGTTAAGATTCAGTAAGACCCAGGACAAGATGCTTCTGCCTTAAGGTGCTAAATTTCTCCCTATTGACTGGAGACTAGATCCCACACACTTTGATAAATTCTCCTCCCAAAGTATCATCTGCCTTAAAAGACTAATATAATCTTTCCCCACCTTGGAGGTAAGTTGGAATAATCTCAACCCAAGGGGTAGGATTCTTACATGTCTAGTCTGGAGTTTTGTTGAGGGTCAGATGTTTAATAGTAACATTGAGGGTTGAAATTGTTCAAATCACTCCTAAAGTGGGGATCTATCATTTTTCTCCCACATCAAATACAAGTGGTAGCTTCATGAATGCAATTGCTAATTTCATACAAATTTCCAGCAAATCAGAGTTATCTTCCCTGATCTGCTATTGTTGACCTGACCTGGCAGGGGAATCCCCCTATCTTTACCCTAGGGTAAAATAAAAATATCTTTCC